CACTACAGGTGTGAGTGCGTGCAGCCGAGACGCAGCTGCAGCCAGGACCAGGCTGGGCACGAGGGCTCGGGAACCCCAAGCGCCCCCGCCTGGGACCCTGTCTCTGTAGGAAAATGCTCTCTGGCGGATTGTGCTGGGCCTTGTCCTTTCGATCCCCCCAAGTCCATTACTGAAGGGATCCTTTCTGCCTGCCTTGTAAGATTAGTATGAAATGAAAGTGTATTTGTGTTTTTCTGGACACTTAAGACATTTCACTCTCCCACAGATGTGGGGTTCTGATGTCTCTTTTCCTTAACACGAGCCTTGAGGTTTGAATGAAAATGGAAGCCCAGTTCATGACTTTCTGGACAGATTCCCCTCCTTGGACACAGGCTAGCATCAAGAATAGTGATGAGTTCTTTTTCCTTAATGTACCTTTCTCTGGCTTTGCTTTTTGTTTCATATGAAGATGAAATACATATGATTGCACAAGCTTGGCATGGACTGAAAAACTATGCCCTCCCCGATTTTCTGGGATTGAGTCTGGGAGCCTCAGCCCCAGAGGGCTCTTCAGCTGCAGGGTTGTCGCGCCCCCTCTGTTAACAAAGACGACATGTTCCCTCGGTGCTCTCAGTGGCTGAAGTTCCCCCATGTGATTCCAGGCTGGAGTGGGCCGAGGGAGGACAGGAGGGTTGAGACACCCGCAGTCCCTGTCTGCACCTGCGGGGGCGCTGTTGTGAAAGTGACCCTGGGGAATGACCACAGATTGTTGGAAATCCAGCCCTCCCCCGCAAAAAACAACTCAGAAAATAAGTTTTTTGTGTGATTTGGGGTGTTTATTGTGGTTTCTTTAAAAGGTTTTATTTACTTATTTTTAGAGAGAGGGGAAGGGTGGGAGAAAGAGAGGGAGAGAAACATCAATGTGTGGTTTCCTCTCCAGCACCCACTACTGGGGACCTGGCCCACAACCCAGGCATGTGCCCTGACTGGGAACCAAACTGGCGACCCTTTGGTTTGCAGGCCGGTGCTCAGTCCACTGAGCCACACCAGCCAGGGCTAACTATTGTGATTTTCCAACGCCGGAATAAATTGAGTCAGCTGACCTTTGCCCCACAGCTGCCACCGAGTGACCCCTCTGTCACTGGGATGGGAGTGAGCTCTGGGTCACAGAGGTCAGCCACCACTTGGATGGCAGCAACCAGATGAACACTTCTCAGCTTCCTGGGCTCTGGGGCTCCCTAGAAACCTGGCTTCCCAAACTCAAAGTCACGTCAAAAACAAGGATTAATGTCCACATCGCATTCTCAAGATTGTGTCTTAGCTACCCTGGCTCCTGAGAGAGAGCAGTGCGTGGAGAACAGCGCTCTTCGCACTGGTGAGCTTGCCCGGTTATGATGGCGACGCTTTGTCACCATGGTGAGCTGCCTCCTGACAGAGGCTTCCGCCGCTGACGTGTGTGTCCCGGGAGCCCTGTGGTCCCACTGCGCCATATAGGAATTCCTCAGTTGACCCATTTGTTCACTTATTGAATCATTCATTCATTCACCAAGTATTGCACCTACTTACGTGCTGGGGACCGTGCGAGGCCCTAGGACAAAGGTGAGCAAGACAGATGTGGCCCCTGTTTGGGGACAGCCTGCAGGCTAGTGTTGCCTTTCATCTTGTAGAAAGCTCCCTCCTTGGTAATGAAAGAATAATAAGAACATAAATGACTTCTCCCAACCCAACCCCTGCAAATCAAATCAAAGAGAGTTATGAGGGGGACCAAAAAAAAAACAACACTGGAATTATCTTCTGGAGGGCAGACCCCTTGCAGTCCAGGCTTCCCCCGCTGGGTGTGTGTTTTTGTCCCGCAGAGCTTCCCATCTGTATCAGTGCACCAGCTGGTGGTGTTGTGAGAGGCTGCGTTTGGCTTCAGGAAATTTTTTTTTTCTGCAGACTCTTTTAATGTGTTTGCCCATTTCACGATGGGTAATTTACGAATGCACCTGCCCACACCATGCTGAGTTTTCAGCAGTTTTTGACCAAAAGCAGCATGACCCCCCCATGCCCCACCCTCCTTATTTACCCAATCTCACCCCAAATGACCTTTTTATTTTCCTGGATGAAAAAAGTCCTCAAAGGGAAACGCTTTTTTGATGTGCAAGAGGTGAAACAAAAAATGGCAGAAGCACTAAGAGGCATCAGAACCGACAGGTTCAGAAACTGTTTTGAGCAGAGGGAAAAAGTCTCAATAGGTGTATTGCATCCAATGGAGAATCCTTTGAATCCCACCCTTGGAAAGCAATGTGATGGCTCTCTGAAATTCATCTGGAGACTCAGAATGTCAAGGTTTTGTCCACTTAAAGGAAAGTGAGAAACCCTCTCTAGAGGCTGGTTTCAAGCAGGGGTGCACTGGCTCCCTGGAAGAATCTGGAATGCACAGAAGACCTGTAACATGGTGGAGGATGTTCTGCCCTCAGCGCCTGGGAGTTCTTTCCCCAGCTCAGTGAGATGTTTGCCGTGCCTGGCTCCCGGCAGTGTCAACGGACATTTACTGACTCTGTCAATGTCTACAGCTTTAACAAAAGAATCAAAGTACCTACTTCACGTCAAATGCCTACAAAAAATTAGCTAAGAGCAGCAGAACATTGGAAAACATCAATTTATGTTTCTTAGCAACGTATACAGCTATGTAGGACACGTGCTGGTAATAGCCGGTCATGGTCGTTTTGCTTTTGAAGAAAGGTGTCTCTTGAAGACTCTCTCAGTGAATGGGCAGACTGCGTTTTCCTGTCCTGGCGGCTGGCGTGGCCTCCCCCGGGCACTGTGGTCCAGAGGGATTAGGCAGGGGCGGAGGGTGTTTCTCCTCGTTCACACCTCTCCGCATCTCTTCTCACAGGCAGCTGGAATTCTGAGCAGATCTCTCTAGTGAGGATACATAGCCTTAAAAAAAAATCCATTTAATTCCAGGGAGGCAAGAGTCTTGATTGGGATCAAAGAGACAGGAAGGTGTGGGGCTCACCTCTGTCTGGGCTTATGTGAAGGAAGGTCACTTTATCCAACCGTGACCCGCTCTCCCTGCTGATCTGATGCCCCCAGCGAACATGGTCGGCACACAAGGTCAGGAAGGGGAGGTGGTGAAAATTTGTATAATGCTCTCCATGGCCTTCCCTTCCCCTCAGGAACCCACAACTAAACTCAGGGAGCAGCATCGCTTCCCCTAGAGAAGAGGGAGGGGCCAGGGGGAAGAAGTCCCAGTAACCCGAGGAGCAGCATGGACTCCCCAGGTTTCCATGTGGGAGGCCCTCTGTGAAGGCAGGGTGAGGGGAGACCCCTGACCATCTCGAACCACCGTTAGAACGCCAGTAAACATGTGACGTCACAGCGAATGAATGAACACCGAGGCAGGCGGGCGTCCTCTCCAAACGCATGGCCTCGGAGGCCGTCGTAAACTCAGGGGACGGGGTGAACATGAACGGGGACGTTGGGGTGGGTGTAACTGTAGACCTGATGTGCTTGTTACATGGAGTGGGAGGTACCTCTGGCCACTCGGAGGGCATGGAAGTCTGTTCCAGCAGAAGCGTGAGCCCCGAGGTGGGCTGCTCGCTGGCGTGAATGGGGGGGAAGCACCCTTGCTTCTTGCTGTCCTTTCTGAGCCCTTCTCTGCTGGGCCCCGTGTGGGGTCCACTTTACCACCTTAATGAGGGGACGTCCCCAGCTTCCCCTGGCTATGTACTGCTAGCGTCTTCCTCCAGTGCCACGGGTGTCAGAAACCCGTCCCCATCTCCTTGTCCTCAGAGCCACAAAGCACCTTCTCACAGTTCCTAAATTTCCAGGGTGGGGCTTGCTGGGCCGAGGGGCTGGGGTCCTCGCCTTGGTGCCATTTGGATTATCCACTAAATAGTGTGATAGAAAACGTTCACTACTTCTTGGTGTTTCGTATTTCAACTGAGAAATAGTGAACCTTTTCTGTTATTTAAAAAAAGAAAAATCCTCTCCTGTTCTTCATGAGTATTTCTTTCCCCCAAAAGACAACTGCAGTCTCAGATTCCAGAACCACATCCTCAGTTTTCCAGACTGACCCAAACATTCAGTTGTGGTGTTTCCCACAGCTCACAAAGACAAATGCCGCTTGCATGCGAATGTTCTCGAACACCTTAAACAGGGTGGCAGATCAGAATGAATAAAGCATTCAGTACAAAAGACCCCAAACCCTCACACGTTTGTTTGATTCAAGCTGTTACCATGTAGAGAAACAAATTCAAGGTTTTAAAAATACATTATGAGCCCTGGCTGGTGTGGCTCAGTGGATGGAGTGCCAGACTGCAAACCACAGGGTCACTGGTTCGATTCCCAGTCAGGGCCCATGCCTCAGTTGCTGGCCAGGTCCCCAGTAGGGGGAGCTGGAGAGGCAACCACACATTGATGTTTCTCTCCTCTTTCTCCTTTCCTTCCCCTCTCTCTAGAAATAAATAAAATCTTTAAAGGCAATGCATTATGAAATACTTCAGATATGCACAAACTATGAATATAACAAATACCTCTGAGCTAACTATTTAATATAAGACATAAAAGGTGACCCACATGAAGTTCCCTCTACACCTCTCCCCCACCCCACACCAGATAACTACCATCCTGAATGTGATGTTATTCCTACACTTTATTTTACTCTGGTTTCCTTTTACATGTTTTTTAAGCTTCATATAAATTATATATACAATATGCATATACACAATTATATATACAGTAGTACTTTTAAGTACTTTTAAGTAGTACAGTAGTACCACACTTTTGCATACGGGTTGTCCCAGAGAGTTCTATAAGAGTGCTGAAACCGCACGTTAGTTTCCCGCCCCCCGGTGAGCACCCACACCGAAGGTCAGACCCTCTCCGGAGAAGCCAGAGGGTGCACTGATCCGGTGCTCGCAGGCGTCTGTGGAGGAAGGGTCCCTTCCCCCACTCTAGGGAGGCTTGTATTCCTGCAAAGTGCCCCCAGGGACACTCTCCCAGTCACACGCTGACCACCTGGTATTCTGCAGTGTCTTCAGATCCAGACCGTCTTATACGGAGCGCAGGACAAGAGGACCCTGGCCACGCAGCAGTCCATGGACGTCCTGTCCAAGTGAGTCGGCCTTCCCTTGCTCGGCTTCCCGGGCTCCTCGCGCCTCCGTCCTTCAACCTCACGGGGGGAGCCAGTCCTGCCGGGTGCGCGCGGCAAGTGTCGGCAACTGCCTTCCCATCACTCGTGCACCATGTGCCAAACCAGCTCCTTGGAAAACCCGGCTGTAAAATACCTTCCTTGCCCGCATATGGAGACGGAATTAGCCCTTGCATAATGTCCGAACCTCGGGCTGGCGTCTGTCCTCTTGCAGACCGGAAGGTCACTTGTCCCACGGGGGATTGTGGCTCAGAGCACTGCATGGCCTGTGGGAACCTGGCTCAGGCTTCCCCGAGCTCCTGGCGCACCTGTCGGGGTGGGAGCCCCAGAGCCTGCGGAACTCACCCTGCAGGCCCTCTGTCTGCCACGGAGGTGCCCCACTCCCTGAGGCCCACGGAGCCCGCAGGCTGCCTTCGAAGTGCGAGCTCCGGGCAGGTGCAGACCCGCACACGGCCAGCGTGGGGCACTGTCTTGTGTGCCAGTTCCCCTGTCCCTGAGGCCTCCGGTCCAATTTTGGGGTTCTCACTCCGCTCACTGAGCCCACCAAGGGTTGATGGTCTGGGCTCAGTGAGAATGGGACTGGAAAGTTCTAGGAAACGCCGTGTGTGTGTGTGTGTGTGTGTGTGTGTGTGTGTGTGTGTGTGTTCGTTCCTGGGCCACAATTCTCCTCTCACTCACATCCCCTCCTGAGGCTCCTTCAGGGAATGCAAGTCGGCAGCTCCTGGCTTTGTTTTCATTGCAGCCAAGGCTGGGAGACCCGGGTGGAGGTGTGGGGGCGCCGCACTGACCACCCTCTGCTTATCCGCAGGGCCCCGGACGTGGCCGGGAAGCTGCGACAGGCCCTGAGAGCCAGACCAGCCTTCTGCACTGGAGCGGCCCCGCCCCCCACGCTGGGGAAGGCGAGGCCCCAAGCAGTGGACTGAGATCCCGCCTCCCCGCGGCCAGAGCTGCGGTTGCGCCCGGGTGCAGGACACACGTCTCTCCAGCAGCAAGAGGGAGTCCTCCGCCAGCCGCTGTGCGGGTTTCCCAGGCTGGCTGTGCGCTGCAGTGGATGCCCTCCTCTCCCCTGCCCCGGGGGACAGGAACGAGTGGACAGCCGCTGACCTCTCAGGGTGAGCTGGTGCTTCTGTAAAGCATTTTTTAAAGCCACCCGAGTGGTTCTTCTTGCCAACGAAAACTTGCACCCATCAGCACTGCCGCGGCGGAAAAGCTGCTCCGGAAAAGTTCAGTACTTCCCCTGCAGGAAAAGAGTCCCAGCATCCCACCTTCCTCATACACCCCTTCCCACAGGTCAGAGGTCAGAACTGCAGCAGCTCAATCCTGGGGAAAGCCCTTTCCCAGAGGAAGGTAACAGGGATTGAGAATAAAATGCTAATAAAAGGAAGCCTGAAAATGCTGGTCGGTGTGTGTGGGCCCTGCTGTCCCTCCCCTCCCTGCCCCTCCCCCGGCGGACCGTCACTCAGCAAGGGCACAGGCCTGTGCCACAGACGGCAAGGTGCGACATGAGTGCCCCTCCGCACCAGAGCCCAGGCAGGAGCCCCAGCCACCGTGGCTCCGTGTGCGCAGGGGGCCACCTCGAGAATGAATGGGGGAAACCAACCCAAAAGACCCGTGCCGGGGGGAGAGAGGCAGGGTCCCTTATCCTCCTCAGGCACGTGATGGTGACTACGAAGGCCACCCCTGCCATCCCCACCCGCCCCCGACAGGCCTGTGGGATGAAGGCAGAGGAGGGGGGAGTGGTCCCCACTCACCGAGCATCCCTCCTGGTGGAAGACATGGGCTCTGCTGTGCAGGGCTGGAGTAGGGATTACCTACACACCACACTGAGGTCTGCCGAGAACAGAACATGTGTGTCCCCCCGGAATTCCTGTGTGGAGGCCCTAGTCCCCAACGTGAGAGTATTTGGGTCTCCGGGAAGTAATGGGTCCATGAGCTTGCCCCCACCACGCGTGGGATTAGCAGCCTCACAAGAGACAGGATGGAGATGGTCTCCCTCCCCACCGTGTGAGCCCACGGCAGGGAGGCGGCTGTCTGCAATCAGGACGAGAGCCTCCACCAAGGACCAGGCTATCGGCACCTTGACCTTGGGCCTCCCCCTCCAGAACTGTGAGAGATAAACGCCCACTGTGTAAGCCTCCCTGTCTGTGGTATTCTGGAGGGGCAGCCTGGGCAGACTGGGAGTCTGATATTGCATACTTCCTGGAGCATATTATCTTGGAATCACAGAAACGAAAGCACATTTTGAAAAATTCAACCGCCACCTGGGAAAGAATGAATTTTGGAATATTGTAGCAAAAATCTCGTGTTAATTCCACCATGAGAGGAACAATAGCTCTTTACGGATTTTTTTTTTTCTGATAAAAGCTTACAAACAGGTAAGAGCATCTGCCCTGGCTGGCATAGCTCAGTGGATTGAGTGCGGGCTGCGAACCAGGCATCGCAGGTTCGATTCCCAGTCAGGGCACATGCCTAGGTTGCAGGCCATGGCCCCCAGCAACCGCACATTGATGTTTCTCTCTCTTTCTCCCCCCTTTCCTCTCAATAAATAAATAAAATCTTTAAAAAAACAAAACAGGTAAGAGCATCTAACCATTCCTCTGTCCTGGTTTTAGCACTGAAGGTCCCATGTCCCAGGCAGACAACACGTTGGGTCCTCGCCTGGCCCCCGGCCATGACGACGGTGTTCTTTGCACCAGCTGTCCAGGCTGCATGTGAATACCAGCCAGCGGGTTTATGCTCCGCCTGCCGTGCCTCCTGGTTCTGTGCTCATAGCCCCCATTTCCGGTTTGGGCAGGGGGTGAAAGGTCTCGAACTTGTCCCGTGTGTTCTCCCCAGGGGTTCCATGCCATCGTGAAAAGCATGCATGTAAACACGTACATGTTTTCATTAAGGTTTACATAGAAAACACAGACACACCAACTGGAAAAACATTCTTTCTCTTCAGGAGCAATGAGAGGTTGGTTTTTTTGTTTTGTTTTCCTTAGATTTTTATTTGTGCACATTTTGTGACCTGTCTCTTTGTACAGAACAGGAGGTTGGCAAGATAAGCTTTTCAGAGGATTCCACTCTAAATACACATTTCAAACAAACAACATCAAAACAACCAGCAGGGAGGTGAGCAACATCCCACTAATACCGTCATTCTGAACAACAGTAAATAGGAAAGGACTGTGTCCTTGCCCCCAAACCACCACAGAACTGAGGTCTATTGTCTCCAGAGTGACAGGTTTCAAAGGGCACGAGGCTGGGGGGTGACCTGTCACAGTGTTCGGGGTGCGCCCTGCTCCGGAGTGACCAGATGCAGGAGCCATCAGCAGCTTGTGGTTCTGTGTGGGTGCATACCCTTCTGCATGGGCGGGATGCTTCTCAAAGACAACTCATTGCACCGTGGAGATGGGGATTCAGATCTCAGGTATTTATTTAGCCAGAGAGAAGTGGGTCACAACATTAGCCTGTGCGTGCTGGCCCCCATTCACAAGGTCATGGGCTGTGACGGCCACGTGGAACAAAGCCACTCAGGCTGGCATCGCCAGCTCCCCCTCCTCAGTCCGTCCAGCCGTCGAAACAATGGGCCATCGTCCTGACCGAATTCTCGCCAACAAGTCCCTTATACAAACACCGTTAACATAGCCTGTCTTTGCCCGTTCTAGAAAGGAGGAGTCTTGCTTTGCAAAGCCCTCGCCTCCCTGCCAGGTGCTGACAGTCACCAGTCCATTCGGCAGGTGACAAAGGTTTACACCAGCCCTTCAAATCCACTTTCCACCTCCCAATGCAGAGCGTTTTTCAACTGGTTCACTCCCAAAGCTGTGCTGCGTTTTTCCCACTTATCAATAAGGAAAACGAACTCTTCCTAAACTTTCTGCTGTAGCCGTTGTGGGGCACTGAGGAGACGTGCATCTCGGGGGTCCAAGGGCCATTACGTGAAACCCAGAGAGGAACCTCAAATGCTGTACTCACCCCCCCCCCACCCCAGTCATCATCACCCACACGACGGTGACACAACCTCAGCCACTACTATCTGTGCACTGCAGGCAGTCCCGTGAGACCATGCCGGAGGAAGCCAAAGACTAACTTGGATTAGAATAATGCTGTGCTGCTAGGGATGCTAGTTCTGACGTGATGCTGCACCTTTAAAGACGGGAGCTGTAAAAACAATACCTCGTGTAAAATAAAATGAAGCCACCAGAACATGCTTCTTCCAATGCCCTAAACTCAGTGGGACAGATCCTCGGGTGCCCAGGCTGGGGGTTTCAGTGCTGGGCGGTGGGAGGGGCCCCCAGTGCCTTCCCCAAAACGTCTTATCCCACCTCACAGGTTCTTCGTTCTCTGGGACAAAACCACCTCCCTCTAACGACTTCTGTCGAACGTGCAAGAACTCCCGTGTCGGTTGTCCTTTTTCGTCTCTCCCTCTTCGAGCTCAGAGACGCCCACGGGGTTGGCAGTGGATGGAGAAGGGCTCCTTGGAGGGGAGGGGGCGGCACTGTCCATCCTAGGCTTTCGATTTCACGGCCCACGGCCCCGGCAACGGTCCAACATCGCCGACATTGTCATTACTGTGTCTCCTGGGTCTGCCTCCCACCAGTAACGGCAGATGTTTACGTGCGGGGAGAGTGCAGAGAAGTTCAAGTATCCCCTGATGAGAGCTGGTGCCTCCAGAACTTAGGTCATACCTCCAAAAGAGTGTTATTTAGACCCAGGGCCACGGGAAAGAAACGGTACCGTGAGCAACTGGCAGTGACTGCTTCCCCTCCACACGGGTCCGGGGCTGGGACCCTGGAACCTGGGCCAGCGGAGCCTAGGCTGGGGCCATCCTCTCCATGAATAAAGTGCTACATTTTCTAAAAGTCCTATGCATAGAAAGCATTCATTCTCGACTTAAAGTGAATTCAATCCTATGACAAGTACCTGTTTCCTAAAGGTGAAATCCTTTAGATTTCTTTTCATGAGGAAGCAGTCTGCTCATTTGCTAAGATGTCTTGTTGAAAAGACTTCAGAGAGGGAAGAAGGTTTTTTTTTTGCCTTAAAAGGTTAGTTTACTATTTCTTATGAGCACATGCAAATAAATTTCCTCTTTAGTCCTAAATAACTTTGGTTACTCTTCAGGCAGTTTTCCTAAGGCTTCAGACAGGTGTGAGGCGTTTCGGTGACCAGGTGCAACCTGGGGCACACTGGTTCTAGGAGTGAAAACTCCACACACACACACACACACACAAAAGGAACTTTTAAGACTAAAAAGAGACAAAGTGTTTTTGTAAAAGTCCCAACTCAAAAAATAAAATTCCTACGCTGTGTAAGGCGTGGATCCATTCAAAACCCCTACAGGCCGCAAAGTAAGTCGGCCTCGCCCGGAAGGAACACTCTTTGGAGAAATTAAAAAGAAGGGGGGGGGACGTTTTAATAAAGAGTGGTCCCCCCTTAAAAGAAGTAAAGGCCCGTGTGTGTTGGCACACGGCAAAATCAGATGCCGAGTCAGACGAAATAGTGATCAAAACCAGTGGCCCTCATCGTCTTCCCCCTGATTGTCTAGATAGAGGACGGCCACCTTCTTTTCATCCGACACCACCGACCTCTGGTCTACCATTCTCTGGAGCTGCACCGCCTTATTGAACTCAGCCTGCTCCTGGCCCCGAGCGCTCACGCCGGCCCCCCGGTCCCCCCCACCGCCAGCGTCTCTCCAGGTTCCACTATGAGCTTCCGCTTCCGTTGGGGTGGGGAAGAGGGCTGGGGCCTCTGGGGTCCAGCTGGGGGTCGCCCTTGTGTGATGACTCACGTCCATCTGAAAGGTAAACGAGGTTTCTTTGGGCCCCAGAGCGACGTGCCTTAGTGTCCGGCTGTCTGTGGCCTCGGCCCGCTCAGGGGGGTCGGTAGACCCAGCGAGGGCCGAGGTTGGGGATACGGGCCCGTGGAAGACAACGCGTTCGGAGGTTACGGTTTCTGTGGGACCTAGCCGGATGTGCTTGTAAGATCTGCCCGCACCCAGGGTCTCTTCTGCCTCCGAGATGTCCCCCCAACTAGCCTCCTGGGGAGACTGGGACTCAGACCCTTGGAAGGTGCTCTTCTGTGTCATCAGGACCGTCCTGCCCACCGAGTAACTATGAGCCGCCCAGGTCTCATCTGCTGAGCCCTCTCCGGGGACGCGGCTTTCTGAGTCGCCCACTCCCCCAGGCCGCAGACCTTTCTGCTCAGTGGTCTGCAGTCTCTGGGAGCCCACTGCGACGTGCCTGACGGACGTGCTGGCCTCTGACCACTCTCGGGCGTGCGCGGAAGCCCCTCCAACACCCGACTCTGTTGTGTCCGAAAGGGGGGCCGTGACCTGAGTTTGCTCCCTGAACCCCTCCCTCGGGCCCAACTGGAGGTGCCTTACAGAAGTCAGGGTACTCGCTGACTCTCCTGTTTGAAAATAATCGCCACCCTCCCCTGCCCCGGAGAACGGGCCCTGAAAAGTCCTTTCCCATTGAGCGTGAAATTGCCGGGAGCCCAGCGCGCTGCCGCGGCCCGACCTGTCGCTGTCTGCGGAGAGTTCTGCCGGGCGGGGCTCGTCCGTGCGCCCTGCCTGACGCAGGCCGCCTTCCCCACTTACCTCTCCGGCAGGGGGCGCTTCGGGGGGCACCTGCTCAGTCCTCCACATCCCAGCGGGGCCTATCGTCACGTGTCTTACAGACTGGGCTACGTCCTCTAGCACGTGTGACTGCGCAAAGCCCCTCGGGCTGGTGACCTCCACGGTGGCCGACACCGGACCGTGCGAAGGGACCCTTTGGGTGCCGCGAGAGGCCGGGCCAGCGTCCTCATCAGAGGGCCTGTACAGCTCCTGCGTGGCCCAGCGCTTGAAGCCAAAGGCCGGGGCTGCCACTGCAGGGTCCCCGTCCGGGCTTCCCGGCGCTGGGCTGTGTCGCTTGGCCAGAGTATCTCGCACCACCGACTCCACGGCTTTCTCTATGGCATCAGCTTCGTCTTTGCTCAGCTCCTCCAGGTCCAGCTGATCGGCATCCACGGTTTGCGAGAGGTTGACTTCCGCCACCAAGGTCACGGCCTCCCCGCTGGAGGTCTGGACTTTCTTCACATCCACCGACAGGTTCCCCAGCCCGCCCTGGCCCTCCGAGGTGAGGGCGGAGAGCTCCTCCTTCACCCGCTCCGGAAGGTTCTCCTCCAGCTGCCCGATCACCTCTACCAGCTGGTGTCTGGGCTCCGCGAAGTCCCTCTTAAGGGACGTGTGAAATTCATGGGGTATTTTAATCTCCTTTTCGACCACCGTGGTCTCCGCATGAAACTCGCCGCTGCTGGTCTGTTCTATCCAGTGCGGGGAGCCCACGTGCCCCTCCAGGGAAGGTTCTGGAACAGCCGGTGGCTCCACAACCTTCTCCCCCAACTCGAGGTCCCTTGGCGGTCTTCGCCGAGACACGGGCACGATTTCATCCTGCCAGGAGTAGCGGATGGTGGATTCTTCCTCGATGTGGATCTGCCCGTACACGGAGCCGTCGCCCGCGTCGCGCCCGGCGTCCTGCTCCGGGGCCTCGTCGGGGGTCGACACGAAATAGCTCTGCTCTCCCTCCCAGTCACCTGCCTCTGTCACTTCTTCCACGTGAGTTGCGCTCTCTCGGGGCAGCTGGGTCTTCCTACGCTGACTCGTGGAGGAGAATGTGGCCTCCGTTTCTGCGTAACCTTCCTCCGCGCCGAGCCCCCTGGAGCCCGGAGACGTGTCGTCGGCCTCCTCCACGTGGAATGGGGTAGGAAACTCGTGGGCCTCCCCGCCGCCTACGTAGCTCGTGGGCTCTTCCACGATCTCCACGTTGACCACTCTCGCTCTCCCCTCCCTCCCCTTCAGACCCAGGTTGATCACGTCTCCGATCACCCGCTCGGTGGGTTTGCCTTTCTGCCAGACTTGATCCCGCGCGTCCTTGCTCAACAGGTAATCCAGGCCGGCCTCATCGGTCACGTCGATCTCCTCGGTCAGTTTCGACTCCACCACGATCTCCGTCTTCGTCTTCTTTCCCCCGGGGAGCTCTTTCCTGCCCACGTAAGTGACTTTCGTGTCCGGAAAAGCGTCCGCAGAGGCTTCCGCGTCGGGAGACTGGGTGAACTGCTGCAGGACGCTGGACACGATGCTCTCCGCTATGGTTTCGGTCACCGAGTCGCCTTGCAGAGCGCCCGCGGCATCCCTGGTGTCCAAGCGGAGCCGCGGCGTCTCCCTCGTGCGCGCCCCTCCCCCTGGACCGCCACCCGCGTCCCTCTGCAGGGGAGTCTGGACGCCTTTGGGGGTCCCCGCTGCTGTGCTGCCCCGGGAGACTTCTAGACTGATCGGGATCTCTCTTTCTCTCACGTGTTTCTCCTTCCACAACTCCTTCCCCTTCGCCCTGTCCCCCATGTGCTGGGTCTCCCTCATCCTCGCTTCTTTGTCTAACTTGGTCAGCTCCTCCCACCGCAAGTTTCTCTCCTCCGAAGCCCTCTCCTTCGATTCAAACAGTCTCTCCTCTCGCTTCGTCTGCACGGTTACGGGTCTGCTCCTCTCCTGCTCCCTCGTGACCGGAGCCTCTGTTTTCTTCCCCAGGACGACAGTCCTCTCGCGGGACCAGGTGCTTTCAGAAGCACCCGCCGCCACATTGTCCCGACGGTGCGACCCCTGGGCGAGGGTGGACTCTCGGGCCACACCACCAGCCTTGGCGCCTTCAGTCCTTGGTCGAGTAGGGAATGTTTGCACTTGAACTTCAGTATTTCTCGAAAGCCTGGACATTGGAGAGAGGGCTCTGAAGCTGGCTTGACCGTTGGCAGTTTTTTCGTAAGACTTCTCCCGCCAGGAGGTGGTAAGGGAAGGGTATCCTGGGCCCAGGGGGCGTCTTCTGGAAGCGTTTTCGATGGCCGTCCGTGACGTGGGCTGTGCCCAGCTGCGGTGGAAGCTTCCGGAAGGTGCCTTGTGCCTCAGAAACAGGTTTCTTTCATTTTCCCTCTGTAACACCGAGCTGGTTTGCTGATAGGACGTTTTGTTCTGAGCTCTGTAGGAACGAACAACAGGCCAGTAATACGATTGTCATTGTTATGTTTTCTCATCATAATCCCAGCCCATCATGATGAACGCATACTATTACCATGGAGAGGTCATTGGAAATAAGATATTTTCAGTCTCCAAATTATCCAGTTATCATGAAATGCACTACTAGAAAGGCTTCACCACAACACTTCAGTGACCGATGAATAAAACATTCGTCTGTCTTAACAAATATATCAAATGTGTGACTATGATGGAGAGGCTAGGGGGGCTAGTTTTTGAGGCCGAAACATCACGAAATTATGATAATTTGGAATCGTTCGTTTCCACATTGTTGACAGCAGTTTTTTGTACTTAATTACAGCAGAGAAGAATTTCAGAATTCCAAAGTACTTAATATGCTGTTATTTTTCACTGATTTCCAGCATGAATTAAAGAATTTAACTTTTTTAAAGTTTCCTGATCTCTTTTATTAAAAGGACTTTTTTAAAGCTTCCTGAGCTCTTTTATTTTTACACTTCCACTTTTACGAACTTCTCACTTGAAAAGGTGCAAGAGCAGGAAGCCCACTGGTCACTATCACTGCGGTTTGTTTTAATGGCGTGACCTGGGGTTGGGAGACGGTCCTCGGGGCTGTCTGCCTTGCTCCCTCTGCGCAGTCCACAGAGAGGGCTACCCAGGGGTGGGGGGGGCGGTGCCCAAACCCCACCAGGCCACCTGCTCGTAGGAGTGGCAGCAGGTGGTTCGAATGAGGTGGGAGCACCATCCACTGTGAGAGCACCTTCTTGCGCCCCACGCCCCACCCTGCAAGCTGGACAGAGCCTTCTCTCGCCCTTGGTCTCCATGGCAACCAAGGCCAGGGGCCTCTTGAAGACAGGCCCCAGGATCCAGGAGAGAGAGACCCGGACAAGACATTTTCTACAAAGATTCTCAAGATCTTTTCGGGTCCACATACTGATTCTAAATGGAGAAGTCCCAGAAGATGAAGCCCAGGAAACGGCAGAAACTACCTGGTTTTTAACTACCGGTAAGTTTCAGTGAGAAATTGGCAAGATCACAGGCTGGACTTCCCCGCTTATCATCTTGTGGGCAAGTGGCCAATATTATTACTTGATGCAATATTACAGAAGCGTCAGTGCGTCGATAAGCATTGAGAAACTCACTGTCTGGGGACGCGCCCATACACTTACTTGGTGAACAGTTCCTGGGCACCTATTGTATGGGACACAGTTCTAAAGGAAGTTCAAAGCCTAACACAAGAGTTCCCAAGTGATTCTCTTTATTCCAATACTGACCTCCTTTTGGCATGGTACATACTTGCTAAAATCAATATAGTTTAAAAATGCTGCCTCTCTATCCTTTAAAAAGCTTGAAAGGAATGAATGGAGCAAGTTAATAGATACCTGGTTGCCCTCCCGCCCTTCCCCTCACTCTAAAAATAAATAAATGGAAGCTTTAAAAAACATATATTGGCTACATGAATAAAGGAGCTTATCACACACTTTGCCACACCTTCTCATTTATGTTATCATTTAAACTAGGGCCCGCTGAATACAATCTATCTGGTACTCAACAGAGGGCTGAACAGTGGTTATTTGAAAAGTCCTATCTAACTCCAATTCTTCCCCATAGATGATGCCTCATGGTTTATCCAGGGACCGAACCTGTGCAGATGGACAGCAACACAAAGTTCCATAATTAGCTTTTCTTCTATTTTTACCTTGTGGCAGGCTTTCGATGCGCTCGGTCAAGATCAGTATCTCCGGGTTACTTTCTCCTTCCAATAAGGCGCTGTAGAAATAATTTTGAAAAGACACTCATTAGGAAATAAACAGCAAGAGGTGCCTCCGTGAGCCGTGGTACGGAGGACTTGGTCAGCGACCACGTTGTCACCGACTCCTGTCTCCAGGACTCGTGTCTGAAGGTGTTGCACCACAGGGCAGCAGGCCTGGGCGGAGAGGGCATCCCCCCAAATGAGGTGCTAACCCACAGGTGGCAGACACCAGGCCCGAGGGCCAAATCCGGCCCTCCACCTTGTTTTATCTGGCCTGGCACCCTGTTTCTACCCAGCAGTAGTGCCAAGCTCTCGCTTAACTATTATGGAGTAGTTACATGTATACAGCCCTAAAATGACATTCGGCCCTTTGAAGGCAACTTGTGAGGCTGATGTGGCCCCTGGTGAAAATGAGTTTAACACCCCTGCTAGGGCTTCAGAACTACTGGAGAGCCCAGCCCTTCTAGAAAGCCCTTCCAAACCCAGGGTGCCCAGGAAGAGACAGAGGTGGGCCCGGGAGGGGTGGTCAGGGGTCTGGTTTCTCCAAGAAGTAGGGAGGGGCCCATGCCTGGCAGGTCACCCTGGGCTAGAGAACCCCCAAACAATGACACTGCCCACTGAGGTCCTTCTGGGGTCACGGGTTGGCCAGGAGCCCAGCAAGGACTGACATTAGCTTGTAAGCAGGCAAATGTGGCTTTCAAACTGGGATCCACGGGGGCACCTGGGAGACTGAAAACAAAGAGAAAGAGAAAGATGGGAGGCAGGCAGGAGAGGGAAAGAAGGAGCTGCGAGCTGCCCCCCTCCCAGCTCCGCCCCAGGGCCCTCACTTCATCCAGGGGAGCGCCCTGTTGATCGCCCTTACTAAAACATGAAAAGCATTCGAGCAGATTTCTCTGGCTATGTCTAGCTGTAAAACCCTGAAACTGTGGAGTCTTCACAGGGTGGTGATTTGTGTCCATCCCGGGAGACACGCCAGCCGAGTGTGGGCCAGGTGGACCAGGTGTGCGGGGTTAGCCCCGGGATGTCCCTTGCTCACAGAGACCCTAGGATGCCGGCTGCTGAGGGCCCAACAGTTGCTGGGTTGCCAGAGCAACATGGGAAGTCACTCACTGCAGCTCCAAGAAATATGCCGTATTGAGCCAAGGGCAGCTGGCAGCAGCGCCCACTTGGAAATACTGATGTGACCCCCGAGCTCTGGGCACGGACGCAGAGGAGGGACGCCAGGGCCGGGTACTTAAGGCAGGCTGGCTCCAAGTCCCACGTCTACAGACTCAGACGCAGGGAGTCCCGCAGATGCGTGGGGGCAGAGGGAGGGGGGACAGAGCAAAGGAGAACCCCTTCTGGTGAAAACAGCAAAGACAGTGCCCCAGGTGTGCGAGGAAGGGCTGGCTGTGGATGCAGGGATGGACGCCCACACGTGGGCAGCCACTCGCACAGGAGAGGCTACGCCCAGGGCCCCAGCCCTTCCTCCCACCCGGGGCGAAGGCCAGGAAACAGGACACCCGGCCATTAGCCCCACACCCTCATGACTCTGCACTCCGGGTTCCAGGGACAGAAATAGCTCGAGTCACCGAGAAAACGCTGAGGTCTGTAGATAATGAGAGGAAGGCTCAGGGTGAAAGTGAGACTCTGGGGGTGGGCGCAGAAGAAAGAGGTGGCACACCACAGCGAGGGGGCCAGGGTGGGGCTTGGGGAGGGGCCGAGTTCCAGGTCTAGTTCAGACTTGCCCTCCACCTGCTCAGCAGGGAGCTCGGGGTACCACAGGGCCTCGTCAGCACTGGAAGTGCCGGGGAGTCGAGGTCAGCAGACAGATGGATGACCAGTGTACATACAGGTGTGCGTGCAGAGATGTCCAGGATAAAGCAGACCCCCTGGGAGGGAGGGCAGGAATCACTCCCCTTGCCCCTCAGAGAATAGTTTTGTTTGGTTTCCAGGGAAAACCCAAGCCACCCCCAAAGTTCTCCTGAGCTCAGGCCCCTGAGTAGGGGGCTGTGGTACACAGGTGGAGACCGCAATCCCCTGTGGGGCTTAGGAGGTCAGGTGTGGGTCAGCCCCGGTACCTGGGCCTGTGCTAGCCCTGGCTGAGACTGAGCGCCCTACGCCCAGTAACACTCCTGTCTGTTACCCACACAAGTCCTCTGGGCAGCCCCGCGTGCAGGGCCAGGGATGGGCGTCCTGGCTCTGCACAACAGTGTCCGGGCCAGGGGACAGGGCTCCCCAGCAGAGAGGGAGGTGGAGCTGGGGCAGCCACAGCGCTTAGCCCCTCCCCAGCGGGCCGAGTGGGCGGTGCCTCACGCAGATTTTAGGAAGAACAAGTGGGAGGTGGGGGTGGGGGCGGGGCAGGCCCTCCAGCCACGTTAATGGAAGCACAGTCGGGGATTTTAATCAACACCTCCCATAGTGTTCTCCTACTCGGGGAGGACTCAGTTCCACATCTGCGTCCCCCTCTCCGTGGCTGGCGCAGGCACGTGTCACCTTCTGCACCTGAGCACCTGCCTGGGGCCTTTAGGTGCAGTCAGGCAGGGGTCACCAAAATCTGTGCCTTCTTGGAGGCACACCCTTCCCGACAGGCACCGGACCCCGCCCCCCGCACGACAGGCCAGAAGCCCAGGGCTCCCGCAAACCCTCCCAGAGGCACATTTTGGAGGAAGAGACTCGTACCACTTTAAGAAGAGGGCAGAGTGCTTTCTGGCTATTTCGAGGTGAGCAGAGCGGCCTGCAGGTCCTGGTGACCGGGAGATGCCAACCCCCTGACTCACCGGCTATTCGTGATGGTTACAAGTGGCTCCCACAGGTCGGCAGCCTCCTGAGCCGGAGAAGAAGCAAACCCGTGGGGGAAACCCACTCTCCGGCAGCACACATCCGTAAAGCGGAGGAAGCTATCATGTGGCCCCCAGCCAGGCTCCAGGCTCTAAGAGACCCCTGTCACCAAGGCTGCAGGGCTCTCGGTCCAGCATGGATGATTCCCCAATGGGCTTTCAGGGCCCGCCCACTGTTATTTCTTCCCGAGGGCACAACCTGCCACACTGTACCCCCCCTCCACCCCAAAAGACCAGAACAAGAGTTGGGGGGTCAGAAATATTTCCAGAAGTGACCCCGCTGTGGTCCTGGGGGCCCCCCACAGGTACTTGCTGGCTGACTAAGGGCAGGTGGGGGCCAGGGAGGAGGGGGGAGGGAGCTGGGAGAAGGGGCCCCAGACCTGCCATCCTGGCCTCCAAGCACTAGAGGGCGCCAGACTGCCTGCTGCTCAGACTTGGGACTGGGCATGGGACGGGGTGGGGAGCGGAGAGGGGCGCCAGCACCCCCATCGGAAAGGGGCTGTCCCAAAGCCCAGACACCACGTGAAAGCGAACAGCCAGGACATGGGGCCACGCCTTTCTGGTCATTCCCTCTCCTCTTTGTCCATTGTAGAGACTGGAAAAAACAAGTCACACGATCGACAGAGAGACCAGGATCGCCAATGAAACACAGGAATCACAGGGAGTGGTCAAGGGAGAGACTGCTGGACTCGGCCACCTGGACTTCAATGCTGGGCCTGCCATCTTCTGGTCCTGTGACCTCGGGCGAAGCCGCCTGGACCCTCTGTGACTCAGTTTCCCCCTTTCTGAACTAGGGGACGGGCACAGGTTTGTGGTGGTAATTAAGTAACCAGAAAATCCTTACAACAATGGCTGTCACTAAATAAGTGTTCAGTAAGTGCCGGCCACTGTCATTGTCTCCTGCCGATCTCGGAGGAAAAAAGCTGGTGTGAAGGCAGCAGCCGTCCTGCCGGAGGGAAGAGATCCAGGCTCCCTGAGGGTTCTTGCACTCCTGCAACCATGCGGGACGGCCAGGAACCCAACGGACGTGTCGATCCTCCTCGCTGTCGATCCTTAACACGAAGATTTTAACTTCAAATAGTTCACCTGATAACCAGGCGAGTCTCGGTGCCACCCACTTCTATGAATCCTCCAAAAAAGCATTTAATTAAAAAACAAAACAGAACATGCATTCCTCCCAAGACCTTGAGAAATTCCAAAAGATGTTTTCCTTCGGACACAGGATAAGGGACAGGTGGTCTAAACAAGAATAGAGCGACCAGGAACATCATTAAAACGGTGGAATTACAAATGCTGGGAGCGATCTGCACTGCCTCGAGTTAGAAGTCCACACCTAGAGACGTTATTTTCCTCGGTTAAAACACACTGCTTCTGCCCTGGCCGCATGGCTCAGTAGGTTGGAGCATTGTCCTGAGCACCAAAAAGATTTTGGGTTCGATCCCCAGTCGGGGGACATACGAGAGGCCACCAATTGATGTTCTCTCCACCAACTGATGTTTCTCTCTCCCTCCCTCCCTTCCTTCCATTCTGTTAACATATCCTCCGGTGAGGACCACAAACAACAAGACAAGAAACCTCAGCTTCTACTCACTGCAGTCAGAAGGAGGAGACCCAAAGCTCAGGAGTCCTTCTCCCCTCCACCCCCAGACACACAAAGAACATTTTTTTAATGCTGCTTCCAACCGAGTTTTTGAGAGGATGTTCGCCGTGGAGCCCCCTGGTGGCACACCCCCGCATTCCACTTTCACGGTGGGCCAGGCAAGAGCCCCTTTGACATTTGTCTTCAGAAAAACCATTTGGCCCCATGTTCCACTGTTTCAGGTGAAGCTAGGAAACAGCTCTTCTACCCTCACCCCCGAACCACCAAAGACAAAGCCTCTTTTCTGATGTCGATGGAGATCGCCTCCTCCGTGTCCGGATGAGGATCCAGGGTGGGTCTCTCCTCACTCAGTTTGGTGGTTTCTGGGCTCAGTTTACTCCTGGGTGGTTTTGCGTGTTTCTGTTTCAGTCCTGAAGATCTTTCCTCTTCCCCATTATATTTTCTAATTGCTTGTTCCTGATGTCTGAGTTCTGATGGAGAAGGCTCCTTATTTTCTAACGGTGCTTCTATACATTCTCGAGCTTTCAGGCAGATCTTTTTTTTTTTCCTAACGTTTTATTTATTTTTACAGAGAGAGGGGAGGGGAGAGAGAAAGAGGAGAGGTACATCGATGCAAAAGAGAAACACTGACCAGCTGGTTTTGTAGGCGCCCCAGACAAGGGACCGAACGGGCAACCCAGGCCTGGGCCCTGACTGGCAATGGCTTTCGCTGTGGGGGACGGCACCCAGCCACTGAGCCACGCCAGGCAGGGCTGGGCCGGGTCCTCATGTCAGCGGTGGGAGGGGTTTGGGGACACTGCAGGTGGCCCTTTCCACCATCTTTGGATAATCAGCTAATGCCGAATAAACAGCTGCTCCCCGGAGAAACTTCGGGGGTCGGTGGTCCGGTCTGCGTGCGTGTGTAAGGAGCACACGCTTCTCCACTCTCCTACCCAGAAACCTGTGCCCCCCTTGCTGCCCGCACCGGCCAGGCTCCGAGGCCTTGGGCAGCCTTGCCTGAGGCCTCCCTCAGCTACCTAGGTCAGGCCCTCGCCACCAAACTATCACCTGCCCCTGCAGGTGGACACACGCATTTCCTGCCAGGTGCGACACCAGGTCTTCTCGGACCACCAGCCGGCCTGCTTGGTTTGCCGAAACCCCCAAGTCTTAGACTCCAGCATTTGCTGTTTGAGTTTTATTCTTCTATTACACAGGTCCTTATTCACTGTAAGTCTATAGCCATGAATTATAAATTACATGATTTTCTTTTACCTTAATATTTCTTCTTTACCTTCAGGGTGACCAGGAAGGGCCAGGTGTCTGGGTTCGGAAGTGTTTGTGACACTCGACACACGAGAGCTGGCCTCAGCATAGCTGACAAATTCCAGCTGCAGGGGAGCGTGCTTTCGGCTTTAAAGGGCCACGGCTGCTCTCCCTGTGATAAGTCACCAAGCACTGCTGGGGGAGGGGCCGCCGCATGGGAGGCTGGGACGGATCGGCAATGCCTCCCTCTGCCTCTCTGCCCAGGGCTGGCGGGACGCCGCACTGCACGGCCTCTGCACTATGTCCCCACATCGCTGGCTGTCCCCGCCGCCCTTGGTAAGGAAGCATGTGCTAGAAAGACGGCGGATGGAGGTGGGCAAAGACCCAACGGGCACTTGTGAAAGCAACGGAAGCACAAAAGGGCGCTAACACAAACCTGAATTTTCATGCCTGCCATTGGAATTTGGGGCGTCAGCACAAAACACGGAGAGTCACCTAAGAGATGGCAAGGGCTTATCTGCAGGACGCGCTCACCAGTGATAAAAACAGCGGGCTTTTGGCTTATGCACGGACATGGGCTGTGTTCATCCGCCTGTATGCCTTATGGCTCCTGAGCACCGGGTGCGGGAGGCCCGCAGCAATTCTAACCACCGACCCCGGTGTCCACGGCAGGTGGCCCCGGGCTCCTCCTCTGCTCTGAGCAAACTTGGACTTCAGAAAGATGTCCAGTGCAATCAATCACTCACTCCCCAGGAAGTACTGACACCTCCTACCTGCCTAGGAGGTGGCGAAGTCCATCCCAGATTGGGTGAGGGGAATGCCAGCCACACACCGAGACAGTACACGGTGTCCCTGCCACAGACAGACAGACAGACAGACGGAGGATGGGAGCGGTGCCCCTTGGGAAAAGCTAAGCTGGTAGGGACCCAGCACCCACCAGAAAGGTGAGGCCCTGGCCTCTCAGGCAAGATGCCCATCTATGCCCTTCGACTTTCCACCACCGAGAACAGGGGGCAGGGCCCCGCCAGGAAGGAAAGGGCCCAAAATCCCAGAGACAAAGCACACAATCAGAGCCTCCGTATTCCCACCCAGAGAACAGTGGGAGAGGCGACAGGAAGATCCACCTGCCCCCATCGGGACGAGAGTCGCCTGGCACCGGGTGTTACCTAACACAGGCACAGATGTGGGTTTTCTGGGGCTCCCAGCATCTGCTGTAGAGGGGTGCACTGTTTGGGGGACCCTCCACACCCGTGCCAGCCGATGTGACCCCCCTCCAAGCTGCACGGCACTTTGTCTCCCAGCCAGGGATGGGCACAGGGCCCTGGGGAGCCCCGCCAGGAAACAACCCCTCCTCTGCGCGGCCAGGACGAAAGCTCGGGGCTCATCCTTACCGGTAGGTGGCCACCTCCAGGCTGAGGCCGGTCTTCACCCGCACCAGGTCCTGATAGTCCCGCAGCCGGTCGGCCAGGGCCAGGCTGAGGGTGGCCTTCTCATCCTCCAGGTGGGCGATCGCACTCTGGAAAGGACAGAGGGTTTTCCCGTCAGACAAGTGGCGCTTTGCTGGGTCAACCCTAAGGTGCCAACAGTTCAGGACACAGAGGTGAAAAGCCTCCAGGTGAATTAGAGATGCAGTCACGGCAAGGATGATTTTAAACATCGTGTTTGTTCCACATAGGAGTTTTTATTTTTTATTTTTTGCCTTATGGAAGATTTTAATAGGACACCGGCTTCTCTGTTTATACTCTCCAACGATAATGGATGCTTAGGGGTTTCTTGAAGCATCTCCAATGCAGACATCAGGCTGCTGAGGAAAGTCAATACGTGAAACCGGCCAACTAAGATGCTCTTAAAAATAGGCCAAGACCAGAAAGTGGGGTTTTACAATATTTGAAACAAAAGTCAACCAGATTTGAAAGAGAACTTCCCCCAGACTCATGATGTATGCAGTAATGAGCAGGTAACCTAATGCAGGGTTGTTTCACACAGAAAAGCTGCTTTCATATCACGCAGGGAGAACCCTGGCTGGTGTGGCTCAGTGGATTGTGCGCAGGCTGCGAACCAAAGGGTCGCTGGTTCGATTCCCAGTCAGGGCACATGCCTGGATTGCAGGCCAGGTCCCCAGTAGAGGGCGCATGAGAGGCAACCACACATTGATGTTTCTCTCCCTCTTTCTCCTTCCCTTCCCCTCTCTAAAAATAAATAAATAAAAATAAAATAATAAAATAATAAAAAATAAAATCATCTGGGTAGAAAAGCTACAGGAATGAGACAGGAATACATTCTGGGCATATATGTCAAAATTCAGACCTGGAAATAAATCTTTTTTTTTTTTTAACTGTACTTGTAGAACAGTTCATAGGGCACGTGTTTCACACGACCCTTGGAGCTCTGACACAGGTAAATTCCATCTGTCCATTGCTCCCTGATGAACTGGGTTAAAAATGAAATGATTAAAGTAATATCACCCTCCTTAAAGTGTATTAAGCTGGCAGTACCTTTTCATGAATAAACACAATGGCTTCCTTTGGTCCCTTGGACAGATGTGCGTTACTCTGTTCCAGCTGTCCCTCACGGTTCATAGTTAGCCTTGGGAATGATTAGCTGAGCAAATATTCAGACACAGAAATAAGTTCATACCCTTTACCTTCTGGTTTAGAAGGGGAATGGCATTATTTCTGAATACAATGAATGGGCTACATTTTTAGCTGTTCCTCTTGGTGGAATTCAAGCGTTTTAAGATAATCGGGAGAGGGCATCTGTTGCCCTCCCCCCACCCCACCACCAAGGGCCCTGGCAATACCCGAAGGTCCACAACATCGCTTCCGTGAAGCCAAGGAGTGTCCTTATTTAAGATCTCACACTAGATTTGCCATTTTACAAAACGCATGATGAGTCATTCTGCTTCCCCAACAGTTTCACTCCTAAGCTGATGATTGTCCTTAGGTTCTCTGTGTATATAGAGCGTGGTGAAAACAAAAACTCAACCCACTTCGCTTTTATTTATTTTATTTCTTAGAAGATTTTATTTATTTACTTTTAGAGAGAGAGGACAAGAGGGAGGAGGGGGGACATTTAACTGGTTGCCTCTTGGAAGAGCCCAGACCAGGGATGGAACCCACAACCCAGGCAGGTGCCCTGACAAGGAATCACACCGCTGACCTTTCACTGTTTGGACTGACGCCCAGCCAACAGAGCCACACCAGCCGGGGCTGGACCCACTTAGCTTTGACAAGTAAAGGACTACATTGAAGACCTGCCTGCTGGGGTCTTCAGGAGGATAAACGCTAACAGCCCCCAAAGCTGGCTTTATAAATAGATGCAGAGGGTCACCAGCGCAGACCATTGGCCAGTCTTGATTTAAATGAGACTTGCCAGAATGCACCAGGACATCCACACATTCTACAGTTAACTATCGGTGTTAAAATCCTACGTTCACCCATTCTAAACTCAGTATCAACTCAGCTACAGGATTGGAGTGTGGGATATAAATATAGTATTCCTTTCTACTATAGGAAATTCAACCTAAATATTTTTTTTAAAATATTTTATTTATTTTTTTAAGAGAGAAGAGGGGAAGAGGAGGAGAAAGAGGGAGAGAAACATCAATGTGTGGTTGCCTCTCATGCGTCCCCTGCTGGGGACCTGGACCACAACCCAGGCATGTGCCCTGACTGGGAGTTGAACCAGCAACCCTTTGGTTTGCAGGCCGGTGCTCAATCAACCTAAATATTAAAACTTGAGTCCTTATCATAATTTATCCTTTCCAAAGAAGTTCAATGATCGTTAAGTTGCTTAGAAAAAAATATCAGATGTGCTCTGTTCTCCAGCCACAAGCCCCCCGAGCAGGTCACGCCCCCCTGGCCATGCCAAAGAGGTACCCATGGAGACGCTCCCCTCCAAGAGGGCGCTGAACCGCTCTGTACCCCCCAAAAATACAAAGAAGAAAACCAAATGGTGCCGAAGTCAGAGCAGGGATTGTTCCAGCCACATTTCCAAGTGAGTCAACACTTCCTGAACGGCCCAAAGGAAGTGAGTTGACATTTGGAGACAGGAACATAAGATGCGCTGGCTCCCGACACTCTTCGGGGAAACCGAAACCCATCTTGCCGATGGAATGCAGCTTCAGACTTGGGCTGTGCGTGGCCACGAGCTTTCAAACCGGGGGCCAGGCCAGAGCCACAGCATGCTAACTCCAGCCCCGGCAGAGGCAGCCTCGCCTAAACGCAAGCAATGCCGAGCAAAGAGTCACCTAATGGAGTTGCCATGTAAGGGACTGTTGGCAGCGTCACAATGGATGCATACCAGGGGCAGTATGCTGCTGTGAGTGCCCAAAGAATTCCGTCTCTTAACCACACTCCAGCAGTGCCTTGCCAGGCAAGTCACCCAGACGTCATAGGAAGAGCTCGCAAATGCCAGCGTTAGAGCTCGGGGGAACCTAAAATGCGGTAACCCTAAGTCTGAGTGTGACAACCTGCTTCAGACACAACAACTTAGTGTATCCATGATCATAAGCCCCGGTTGGATACTCAGTAAGTATTTCTAGCTCTAGCCCAGACACCACTCTGAACTCTAGACTCCTAATTTTTCTTACACTATCAGGGGGGTGTCTCTGCACCCCAAATATGCTCTCCTGCCACCACCCCCTTCAGCCAAAAGCACTCCCTTCATTCGGGGGCTCAGACTACTGCCCTGGAGTCAACTCTGATTCCTCCTTCTCTCTCCCTGCACACCCAATCCACCCACAAACCCCGCTGGCTTCGAGTCCAGAGGGGATCCCTGTCTCAGTCCCTTCCCTCAGCGTCTGGCCCAGCCTCCATCACCTCCTTCCTCTTGTGCCCCACAGTCTGTCTTCAACACAGCAGCCAGAGTGACTCCATGGAGACAGTCACCCCTTGCTCTGCTCAGAGCCCTCCAGTGGCGTCCCACGACACTCCGAGCAAAGCCCACGCTCCCCTGCTCACTCCACTCCAGCCACACCTGCCTCTCGAGCACTGCATGCCGTTTCCACAGCGAGACCTTTCAGGCCAGGGAGCATTCCCTGAAGGTATGCACTCTGTGAGCTCTTTTCGCAAATGGGGAAACTGAGATACAAACAGTGGCAGAGTCAGAACTCAGGCCCAGGTAGGGTGGTGGCTAACCTGTCCCTGTTCCAATCAAGAGCAGGTTCCCAGCCCTGGCTGGTGTGGCTCTGTGGATTGAGCGCCAGCCTGTGAACCATAGGGTCACTGGTTCGATTCCCAGTCAGGGCACACGCCTGGGTTGCAGGCCAGGTCCCTAGTAGGGTGCACACAAGAGGCAACCATACAATGATATTTCTCTGCCTCTCTTTCTCCCTCCCTTCCTCTCTCTCTAAAAATAAATAAGTAAAATCTTAAAAAAAAAAGAGCAAATTCTCATTCAAACAGGGGGCCTGGAGACCTTTCACAAACAGGCTTCAAGGCTGAGAGCTCAGATTCTCAAGCAAAAATCTCAACGTTTACAGGGCAAGGTTGGCGTAAATCACCGAAGATGCCCCTTTCTGCATCCTGGGAGACAAGAGTGCATTACTCAGACTTGCAAGTCATCTACAAGACATATGAAATGCTGGGGACTTGCGTGTCACTCCAGCCAACTTTTCTCTGCACATCTGAGGTGAGGGGCCTGACCGAGAGGAGGCAGCTGGGCCATCTGGGAAGGGCCACTTTCTCCAGAGAGTCCTAGCGAGCACCTTGCCCCCTGGAGTGGCAAAGGGGGTTCAGAGCCAGCTGTATGCTGGGCACTGTGCAGGGGGCTGCCGCCTCCAGACTGGGTAGGGAGGGTCCTCATTAAACCACGTTGGAGAAAGTAAACAAAAGACTTAACACTAAAACTCTTCGGACATCAGCCAGCTGGAAAAGTCTGACAGCATTTAAGGATTTCAGATGACTGGGGGAAGGACCATTATCCAATGAATGCAAAGTGAATCCTGGTTAAAAGTTTGTTCATGTCCATCCATACTTTTTTTTTTTTGCAGGTTTTAAGTGCACAACGTTATAATACATCATCTGCACACTGCATCGTGTGCTCACCACCCACAGTCGAATCTCTTTCTGCCACCACTTATCCCCCCCTTTGCTCTTTCCCACCTCCCCCGCCCTCCCCAAAGTTTATCTTTGATGGAGCAGGCAGAAGAAAGGAAATGTTGCCCAGTGGTTAGCTGGTCTGGCTTGGCTACCTGCTCACGAGGTGACCTCCGTGCCTCAGTTTCACCTGGAAAATGGGGCTCATATTAGTACCCCCCTCATAAGTCGGGTGTGAGGGCTGAGAGTCAACATGTGTAAAGGTCTTGACTCTTTGCTCTTCACTTTTAAGGGAGAGAAGCAAGTTCTACCGAGAGAGGTGCCACTGGACAGGAAGTTGAGGGTGGGATCCTAATTCTAGGCCAGGTGTGGCTCCAGGCAAGGCAACTGTGTGTGTGGGGGGGGGAGCCTGGGGGTCCCTAAGTCTAAGGAGGGCTTGACCGTGACTCTTAGGGCTCTTCCCAAGTCCTCATCTCTCCTCCAATAGGAGGGACTCTCTTCTTGTACCTGTTTCCTAGCTGAGGTTGCATTTAAGATGTCATTAGTGGGAAAAACGGTTTTTTTCTACTGCTACTAACGAAAACGGAAACCAGAGCTTCTAGGTCCGACATAAGCCAAGTGACCTATGACAGCAAATGTGTGATGAGGATTTAGCCCACACAGCCTGCCCCAGAGAAGCATTTTCCAAACCCAGCAAATCTCACACAGCAAAATCGCTCTCTCACGAATCGTTAACTCACAGCTACAAACTGTTCCCTCAAAATACTTCTGAATTTATAGGGATGTTATTTTAAGCCATCCTCCTGAGAAATGACTGATAGTATGATTTGGGAATATTTCCAATTCTGGCCTCGGCTGGGCAGGACCAGGGCCAACCCGAGGACCGGACTGGATGTACAGACAATAAATCACACACAGGTGTCACTGTGGCCGCGTCACAGGTTCAGGCTTTGCTTCTCCGAAATAGTACCTGTTTACATTACTCTGCATTTGTCATAACATCCTGCCACAGGGACCCCACGTTTCCACCACTTTTACACTACCCAGAGATCTGACTTCAGCTTTACTGTGTAAGAAAAAAACCTCTGATTAAGCTCTTTGCCTTAAGTCTGCTGCCCCTCCCAGAACACACAGGGCAGCGGCCCAGGGAGCCACCACCAGCCGCCTCCAGCTGGGAAACCATTCCGGCAAAAATAAAAACCGTGTTTGGAAAACAGCTTTAGTTTTCTCCAGGGGAGCCCCAGAGCCAATGGGGCTGCCGTTCTAAATGGCTCTGGGTAAGGACTTGACATTGCCTAGAAACCTCCGGGAAGGCATCTCTCCGGGAAGGATGGGGCTGTCACTTGTGGAAGTCAGAAGGGTTTCTTGGTTGATTAATTTGTGTACTAACGTCTGGGAAGCACAGGAAATCAAAAGAGAACCTAGATGACAGGGACAGAGCTATCCACCAGGACCTGGCACTTGGCTGGGGCCGCTGAGTCGATGAACCAACGGCCGAGCTCTTTTTCCAGGGTTGCCGAGATGTGGGGACCCTGAGGTCCTGCGGCATAACAAGGGGTTCATCCACAGTAGGTTCGGGCACTGTCGGGGACGACCCCACCTATTCGCGATGCCAGTGAAGGCGCTGCGGGTTCTGGGAGGCCCGCAGCTGCCCCGCCCCCTGCAGGGCGCTCAGGGCGCTCAGGGCCAGGGTGGGGACAGTCCCTCTGAACCGACCTGCCGCTCCTCCGCCTGCAGCTCATAGGCCTCGCGCATCCGCAGCAGCTCGTCCTCCAGCATCGCACGCAACTGCTCCAGCTCCAGCGCCCGGCGCTGCAGTGCCTCCGCCTCCTGGGCGCACAGCCGCTTCTCCTCCTCCGCCTGGCGCCGGCTCTCCTGGCCACGCCGCAGTGCCTCCTCCAGCTCGCGCACCTTGTCCTCGTACATCTGTATGGTCTCCCGCCACGACTCCACCACCAGCAGCGTGTAGCTGTCCTGCACCTCCTGCAGACGTTGTGGGGGCACGGCGGGGCGGGTGGCTCGGGCGCTGTAGCTCAGGGTCAAGCCGGCGGAGCGCGCGCGAAGGTTTCGAACGTCGCGTTCATGGGCCGCATCAAGGCCACGGCGCTCGGCCTGCAGCCGGCCCAGCAGCGCCTCCAGGGTGTCGCGCGCGCCCAGAGCCTCCTGCAGCTCGCGCTGCTCCGCACTCAGCTCGGCGTCCAGGCGGCGGCGGGCGGCGCGCGCCTCCTCAGCCAGCAGCCCCAGCTCCCTCAGCTCGCGCCTCAGCGCATCGCGCTCTCCTTCGGCCAGTGCCGTGGCCCAGCTCAGCTCGTCCAGCTGCTGCCGCAAGCAGCGCGCCTCCTCCGCCCAGCGCGCCTGCCACTCGGCCTCCAGTCCCTCCTTCCCGCGCCGGCTGCGCAGCTCCTCCTCCAGGAGCAGGTTTTCTCGCTCCAGCTCCCGCACCCGGCACACATACTCGTAGAGCCGGACGTTGAGTTCCTGCAGTTCGGCCTTCTCCGGGCCCGTGTGCAGCCTCCAGGACAGCATTGTGCTGGCTGTGCGGGTCCCTGCCGGCCGGCCGATTCCCTCCTGCCCTGGTCTTGTCCCCTCCGCCGCGCCGCTCCGGCCCCGCCGCCGCCCCGGAGGCCCGCAGACTGCGGGCGGAGCTGGAGAGCAGCCGCACTTAGCGGACCTGGCGCCAGGAGGGGGCACCGCAGCCTCCAGCCAATCAGAGCGCGGCCCGGCCCGGCCCCGCCAGCGCGGTCTTGCAGCGCCCCCTGCCGGACGGACAGCGGCGCCGCGCGACCTCGCGCCCCAGGGTGTGGTGGCCCAAGTCTTCGAGTCCCTGTCACCGGCCCTCGGGTACCAGCGGGCGGTGGCTCGCTCGCTGGGCAGCGCTCTGTTCTGGAAGGGATGCCCGGGGAAGTCTCCCTGTTGCTGCCCTGTCGCGCGCACCTACGACGTCCACGGACGGAGAGGGAAGCCGCCATTAAGTGAGGTGACGCCATGTTTGTCTGAAGGCGAGTCGTCAGAGGCCCTGGAGATTGGAGGATTTTCTATCTAAAAATTATACATATACGTGGATGGCATACATCTATAGTCTATTGTACACACATATGTGCTTTAGAGGTTGTATTTGAACTTAAAACATAAATGCATATCCCTTCGCCAACGTTTCGATGTACAAGCCAGACTTTGGACAGGGGGTGGCGGAGTTCCGCGTTTTCCTTTTTATATTAACTACCCACAGGGACTTGGTCTGCTCTTCCCGACATCAGTTTCTTTCCTTTGGAGTGGGCGTGTGGGAAGTGCTCTGAGTGCAGGACACCTCACATCTCCCTAAATGTTTGCAGTTGGCACCCCGACACCGGCAGTGCCAGCTGCCTTTTTTCCAAGCGCGTGCCACAATTGCATCGCCCTAGAAACCGCAGCTCTTTTGCATGCCTTTGTTGCATTCGTTTGCACGACAGTTGTTGATGTTAGAGGTGACGCAATGAAGTCCAAGCGGCATTCAGGGGCGCAGGAGCAAACCCGGGGCTGGCCCTTAGTTGGGAGGCCCCTGGAGGAGTGGAGGCAGAAGTTGGGGTGGGGGCTGGATGGTCATCCACTGGCCCAAGGGCTCCTTGTGGCACAGCCACTGCCCAGAGTGGTTTATCTTGGCACGGAAAGGTGGGTTGGCTGGCAAGGTGTTCGGGGACAGTCACTCGAGACAGCTGCCAGTACTGTCCTGGTGACAGGTGTGAGTCTCCAGCCTTGAATGGGGCAGAGTGGGCTTTAGTTTTACTAGAGACCTCATATCACAGACCCTAGTTGGTGGGTAGAAATTAATATCTTTCAGGTCAGAATACCTCTCCCTTTCTGCCAAGGCTGAGTGGAGGGCAGGGTGGGGTTCAGAGCCAAATGGAAGTGTCCTACATTAGAGAAAGTCCAGGTTCAAGGCCTGGTTTGGGCAGTAATCAGTGTTTCGGTCCTGGCCAACTCCTCCTCTTCAAGCCACAGCTTCCTTGGCTGTCATTAGGGGACTCGGACTATGTTTTCTCCAAGGTCCTGGGCTACCCAGGGTGGCCCCAGTCACCTCACCTGCTGCCACTCACTCCCTCGTGCCAGTACCTGTCGGCATGACACCTTGAGTTTGGCTTATGAACGGCACCATGGCTTCCTAGTTTGTCCTTCTTCTTTGCATCATCGAGTTCTGGGGGAGGTCAGATGCCAGGTCACGTCACGAACAGCCCTTCAGAGAGGCCCACACAGTGAGGAAGCGCAGCCTGAGACCCAAAGCCTTCCGTGAGCTAAGGGCTGCCGTCAGCCCCGTGAGTGAGTGGGGAGTGGATGCGCCAGCCTCAGTCAGTCCTTGAGAAAAGCACAGCCTGGCCCGCAGCCTGACTGCAGCCTCATGATAGGCCCTGAGACAGAGCCACCCAGCTCAGCCTCGGCTGGATTCCCCACCCTGGGAAACCCTGAGACAACAAATGTTTGTTGATTTGGGATCGCCTGTTAGTCAGCCACAGGTAACTAACTAGTCCAGACCATTTCCAGCTTTAAAATCCTACCAGCCTAAATCCCCTGAATCAGAGCTATCGAATGCAGGGAAAGCTGGATTTATTACGATTGTCAGTCTCCCAGCCAGAATCCATAAAGAGATAATACCGAATCCACCAAAAATAGATTTTGGAGTTACAATATTTATTGCATTTGTCTTTGTAAGCCTTCCCAAAGCTTTGTTTATTTTGCCTCACTGAATGCTTTCTTTCACAAATGAAGGTGGAAATCCAGACAAATGAGGCGATTGGAATAATGCAAGTATTCGTTTTCACATTTGCATTTCTTCAGTGGTAAATAAAAATGAGGGACAGGCTTGCTTTGTCTCACCCCAGCCCCATCGTGAGAAATTTGTCTTGAGCAGTGGTGACACTCGCACAAATCTTCCCAGGAAGCCACGGGCCCAGGGGGACAAGCCTAGGATGAGATTACCTGTTGATCAACTTGAGGAGTATTGCCCCCTAAACAATATTAATTGTTCCAGTCCAGGAACAAAAATGTCTTTCCATTTATTTAGGCCTTTAATTTCTTTTAAGGACATTTTATAGTTTTCAGTATACAAATCTTGCATCTCTTTTGTTAAATTTATTCTTAAGTGCGCTATAACAGCATTCTCGATAATGCTATTATAAATGGAATTTTTTATTAATTTTACTTTCAGATTAGTCATTGTTGACATATAGAAATGCAACTGATTTATATATGTTGATGTTATATCTTGCAAATTGCTGAGCTCATTTATTTTCTGCAATAGGCTTCTTTGGTGTGGATGGATTCCTTAAGATTCTCTATATACAAGATCCTGTTGTCTGCAAAAAGAGATATTTTACTCCTTCCTTTCCAATCTGGAGGCACTTTCTTTTGCTTCCTTGCCTAGCTGTCTTGGCTAGAACCTCCAGAATAACGCTGAATAAAAGTGCTGGGCGTGGGCAACCTTGTCTTCTTCCTGATCCTAGGACAACCTGAAGTGTTTTCCCACTTCCTCTCTAAGTCTTTCTCCATGAAGTGTGAGGTTAGCTGTGAGGTTTTCACTGGTGTCCTTCATCAGGTGGAGGAAGTTGTCTTCTGTTCCTAGTTTGCTTACTGTTTTTATCATGAAAGGATGTCGAATTTTGTCAAATGCTCTTTTTTTTGCATCTGTTGAGATGATCGTATTGGTTTTATTTTTTATTTTATTACTATGGTGTGCTACACTGAATGGTTTTCTTACATCAAACCAGCTAATGGTGTCCCTTGATGAACAGAATTTCTTAACCTTAATATAGGTCAATAGATCAACCTTTTGCTGTATGATTTATGCTTTTTGTGTCCTTACAACAAATCTTTGCACAGCCCAAGAACAGGAAGGTAGTCTCCTATATTATGTTTTATGTCCTTTTTTGTTTTCCCTTTCATATTTACTACATTCCATCCGGAACTGATTTCTGCATAGAGCGTTTGCAGAGATCAACATAAATTGTGTCCATATTGATTTCCAGTGGACCCAGCACTACTGGGTCCCAGCACTACTGGGTCCCAGCACTACTGGGTCCCAGCACTACTGGTTGACAAGGTCATCCTTTCCCATCGTTCCTATGACAAAAGTGTCCACCCTCTCATGAATGGAGCATCTATGGGTACTTCATAACAGATCTTGGTGGCCTGTCATGGAAGTCCCCTCCCTCACTGTGTTCTTTTTTCTTCAAGATGACCTTTGCCATTTGGGGCATGTTTTATTTTGCTGTATAAATTTTACAATCAACTTGTGAATTCACATACACACACACACGTACATAAGCAAAATCTGGGACTTTCTTTATCCTTACCTGAGGACATTTTTTCATTGCTTTTTAGCAAGAGAGAAGGAAGGAGGGAGAGAAGCATTGATCGGTCGCTCCTCCCAGGAGCACTGGGGACCGTGTGTGCCTGGATGGGAAATTGAACTCGCAATGTTTCGGTTACTGGACAAGCCGAGCCGCACCAACCAGGGTAAGATCTGGGGTTCTTGCTGAGCTTGCATTGATTCTATAGATCAGTTTGAGAGAGAACTGATGTTTTTACAACACAGAGGATCCACACGTGTTCATCCATAAGGACACTTTTAAACTTTATCTTTTCTATGACTTTATTTAATGAAAATAAGTAAAGATAGTAATAAAAATAACAATAATAATAGATAACATTTTAAAAAGTCGTTACATGCTGGATGTTTGGGCTAAGTGCTTTATAGGTGTCATTCTATTATAAAAATGTTTCAAAAGTTGTGTAAGATCTGCCTGAAGAAAACCACAACAATTTGTTAAAGGCATAAAAACAATATTTGAACAAATGGAAAATATAGCATGTCCTTCCATTGGGGAGAATTAATAAGAAAAAAGTGTCAATAATTTACAAATAAATGGTTACCTTAAATTAATTCCAATCAGAATAGCAATGGTATTTTCCTAGGGTTATTAAAAATTTTTAATATTTATAGTGAAGAAGTTCCAAATATTTTAGATTTGTCAACAAAAATATTTAATTTTGAAAAAAGAATATTAAGGTACAATCGCCTTACCAGATATTAAAACCTTCTACATGCTAATACAATAGTTCTATTTTTTTTAAACTGATAGTTTTGGTTTATATATAAGCTTACAGATCTACAGATCAGAACACCAGAAAGTCAAAAAATCTCAGTATATATTCAAATTTAATACATGATAAAGCTAGTATTTCTGTTAATAAGGAGAAGATGGCCTATTTAATTGATGATATTGGCACAATGGTTGTCGATATACAAAAAACAGCCCCTCTAACCATGAATAAAGTATTAATACTCAAAATAAAAACAAAACAAAGAATAACAGAATACGCTTAGGAGAACATTTGCATACCCTCAAGGTCGGGGGATGGGAACACTTATATAATCTGGGGAATTTAGAGTCCATACAGGGAAAGACTATCAAGTTTGACTCTTCAAAAGTGAAAATGCAGAAACATACTGGAAAACATATTTGCAATTTCCTTGACTGCCAAGTTAGTGTCCCTAATATATGAGGAACTCTTACAAATGATAAAAAACAAGTACGGTACTCAGGGTGAAACACGAGCAAAAGGTAAGACCACACAACACATGAAAGAGGA